TATTTGGTGTGATATAAAATCAAAGGCGCGCATTGTACATCATTTTGTATTTTTGGTGATTTCGTGTCTTTTTACAGGCGAACATGACCGAAAAAAGAATGACGGAGAGGTGAACATTGGTGTCCACTCGATTCATTCCCACGAAGGGTTCAGTATGAAACACCTTAAGAATGACATAGCATTGATCCGCCTTAATAAGCCAGTTATCTTGAATGATCGTGTTGGTACAGTTTGTTTGCCTGCCAAGAACTCAAAGGTTGCTGTTGGGAAGAAGTGCTTTATTACTGGTAAGTTGAGTTTCAAACTTTGCTAAAGCTATATATCATATCAGACTCGTCACCAGTCGCTTCTCTCGAACGGCGGCGTGCAATGCACGAAGGGAAGGGCGAAGGAAATTCACGACTTTTAATACTGAGCACAAATCATTTCTTTTGTGTTCACCGTACCTTGACGCCTCGGCTCAATTGCTTTGTTCGTGGTCAATGAACCTGAGTACGGAAAGTCGTTACTTTTTTCTCTCCTTCCCTTCAACCCCTTCGAGCGTATCGAAAAATAAAGCATTTTTTTACTAAAAATATACATTTTATTTAAGGTTGGGGTCGAACAGTCGGTGGAGGTAAAACAGCTACAATTCTCCAACAAGCTGAAATGCCCGTCAGCTCTCATGCAGATTGCGCTAAGGCAAACAAAGCAATTGCTCCGGTGGACGAAAAGTCAATGGTCTGCGCTGGTTATGCAAAACAGGGAGTCCACATCAGTGGTTGCCAAGGTGACAGTGGTGGACCATTTGTTTGTGAAGAAAATGGAAAATGGGTTCTACGTGGAGCGGTAAGCTGGGGGAATCCCAAATGTTTAGCTGAGAGCACCTATACTGTTTTCGCACGTGTCAGTTCTTACATCGATTGGATTAACGAGAAGACCAGCTCAGGGGGTAAGTACTTAAGGAGGACTAAGCCAAAACAATGGCAGGGCCTTACCTGAAGGTAGCTGGATTGGCCTGCGGGCGGGCTTCCTGTGTTGAGTGCATGTTCTCTGTGAGAGTTTCGCAACTAAGAGAAACAGAGAGAGCTAATAGATGTCTGGTGATGAGATTAAAGCGATAACTCATGCATGAGACTCAATATATATATATATTGCTGAAGAAGGCCGAAAGCGCCGAAACGTCCAATGAAACATAGAATTATTATAGCTTCAAGTTTTTTTTAATTTTGTTTAATTTCATTCTACCTATATTACTATATACAGTTACTGTATTTGCAATAATTCTGGCCCACCAACGCTACTATTCATGTCTCAAAGTAGCCTTGTCACCTCTGTGGACCCTGTCACCTCTGTGGACCCTGTTCGAATCATATGTGATTTGAGTTTCTTTCGTTCTCTCCCTTGCGTCGAGGGTTTTTCCGGGTCTTTCCKRGKTTTCCTCCCTCAGTAAAAACGAACCATTTCTATCTGCTGTGCTCCGCGTTCAGTCGTTCGTTGCTATGTAAAGGAAGCGCCTAGCCGGTAGCACGCCTATGTGTAAGTGTCTGTAAAATGTGTATGTAATATAGCACTTCGACTTGAGAGCGCGTCGAGCTGCGTCTTTCACAATTCAGCACCCGTGCTGCCATGAAGGACGATTAGCACCCAACACCTTTTCCCTTTTCCCTTAGAAATTATGGGATACCATTTCTGATATATTTTTTAGAAAGTACTCATTCTGGACCACTCTGGAGAACTCAAAAAATATAGTCATGATATCCCATAAGTTCTAAGGCTGCTTTCATTGATATATATGAATATTAGTGTAGGTGGCTCAGAGCTATATTGCAAACAGTAGTATATTTTGAGTCTCATGAATGTGTGTGCGTGCTTTTTCTGAGCACTTTTTAGATTTCCGTAAGGTTTTTCCCTAGTTTCTTTGTTTTCGTGTTGGTTGGTTGCTTAGTTTACGTATTCATAAAGAGCTAGTGGCGCGTGAAAAACACTCAGTTTGCTAAAGAATACAAAAGTGCCGAAACGTTCTAATAAAACAGAAATATAAAGCTACAAGTTTTTGTTCCTGCATTATTCTACTTATATACTGTATATAACAATTTCTGTCATTGTATGATCATGATAAAATGACTTTTTAA